GAGAGAGAGAGAGAGAATGCATTTGTGTGCGTGCTAAGTGTGTGAGCGACCGAGAGAGAGAAAAGTCGACGAAGTGCGCGTGCGCATGTTTGTCTCTGTATGTGTGTGTGTGTGTGTGAGAGAGAGAGAGAGAGAGAGAGAGAGAGAGAGAGAGGTTTGGGAGAATCCGTACGGTTTAAGGGTTGAAAAGTGAGAGTGACCGTTTGCGATGCTGTTGGGCGTTTGAATGGTGGGGTCTCCCGGTAGCAGCAGGCTACGACCAAAATCTGCGTTGGCAAAAAAAAAAAAAAAAAAAAAAAGGTGGAAAAGAAAAGAAACATATAGTGAGCATGGTGGAGTGACATGCTGACGTGGCATCACCAGGATAATTAGCTAGGCAACCACGTGCTCATGACTACTGTCTTCCCCCGAATAGAACGCACGGTCGTATTGGCTTGTGTTTGTGCTTGGCGCACAGTTTCTCGCGCTTGGAAAAAGAAGAGAACGATGTAAAAATGAAAAGCAAAAGGAGAAAGAACGAAAGAACGAAAGAAAAGGGAAAAGAAAAAGGAAACAATAAAGGGTAAATAAAAAAAGTGGGATCACAGCACAACTGATGTGACGTGGGATCGGCGGGGGGGGCTTGATGATGGGGTTGTTGTGTGTTCGTTCTTGGCGCGCAGCTCGGCGCGCAGCTGGTCGCCGTAGGCACTTTTGCGTGGTAGCAGACGCGGCCGCTCTCGCCCTCGTTATTGCAGAAGGAGGGAGGAGGGAGCAGGAAGGTCCTAAGACTCAGACTCAAAAAAGAGGGAGCCAATCTCACTAATTAGGCGGCGCTCATAGACGGCGCGCGCATAGGCTGCGCGCAATTGGAGAAGAGAAGGGGGAGAGAAGAAGAGCAAGAAAGAGAAGGGAGAGAGAGAAGAAGAGCAAGAAACTCCTCTTTTCGAAGATTGGACACGTGGACTCGGGGGGAATACGAAGATCGGACACGTGGAGGGATGGGGATCGGGATCGGGATCGGGATAACACGTCTAGGAAAGTTAGGTGGACGACCATTCGCAGACATGAGGAGCGGCAGACGAAACTGATGATAAGTAGAGAGAGCATAAACTGGACCGGGATCGGGATCGGGATCGAGATAACACGTCAAGGAAAGTTAGGTGAACGACACGTGGACGGCACATTATTGACAGGTGATGATGACACGTGGACGACGCGGACATTTCGGATGACGGGTGGATGACACGTGGATGAAACGTGGATGAGAGGTTGATGACACGTGGCTGAATGCGATGACCACGGTGATGACACGTGGATGACGCAGGGATGACACGTGGATGACGCGTGGATGAGAAGGAGAGGGGAGGGAGAAAGCAAAGAGGTGAAGGGAAGGGCGGCGGCGGCGGGGCATGACAATTCCTGTACACTATTTTTGGACTCTCTCTCTCTTCTCTCTCTCTCTTTTCTGTCTCGCTCTCTCTTTTCTCTCTCTCTCTCGTCTCTCTTTCTAAGGTCTCTTCCTAGCTCTCCCTCTTGAGGCCACTCTCTTCTCTCCCTCTCTTTCTTAGCGCGCTCTCTGTCTCTCATAGTTGTCTTTTTCTTCTCTCTCTCTCTCTCTCTCTCTCTCTCTCTCTGTGTGCTCATGGCGGCCGCCACAGTTGTTGCCGCCGCCGCCGCCGCCGCCGCAGTAGCTTCCGTGTCTGCTACAAGTCGGAGCGGTCACCATGTGTTGACACGTGTCACGTCTCGGCTGCCTCGAGCTGTAGGGAGCAGCCGTGTTTACCATGATGTGGTACATTGCTTGAAGCGATCGGGATCGCGATCGGAACCGGGATGGGATGGGAGGGATGTAGCAGCCTTTTCCTCCCTCTCGGCATCGTGGTCCTCTTCAGCGTGTCCACCACGTGTCAAACTCCTCGCCAGAAGACGAGGAGCATCCCATGTGTCTATCTCCGAGTCGCCGTCGGGAGGGGGTGCGGCCTTCTTCGCCGGGCCATCGATCGGGACCCCGTCCTCGTGCCGCTGCTCATCGATGGCCAGCGATCTTCGTCTTCTCTCCCGGCGATCAATCTCCGCCTCCCCTCGTCGTCTGCTCTGCAGTCCCTCCTCCTCCTCCTCCTCCTCCTCCTCCTCCTCCTCTCTGTCCTTCCCGCCGCCGCATTTCTTGTTGACGACATCATCGTCGTTCTCATCGTCATCCGATCACAATGCGGCATTCACGGCGGACGCTAGATCACCGGATATGACGGTTGGGGACGAAGGGCTGGCAACGGCGATGGCGGCCCGTGGAAGCAGAGGCTCGAGCTCTGGCTATGGCGGTCGTCCTCGTCGGATGGGCTTGTTGTCGTCAACATGGAGCAGGGAGGGGAACTTAACAGATGACAACAAGGAGGGGAGGAGGAGGAGGATACACGCGGAGGGCGGGGGATCGAATGGGATGATGACAGCACGTGGGCGGCTGGGCGATGACGAGAGAGGAGAACGTGGAGGTGGAAATAATGAACCGATGGAGAGAGAAGGAAGAGGGGAAGGGGGAGCGGCGGGAGGAGGCGGAGAGGAGAAAGGTGGGTTTCCTTCACCTCCTCCTCCGCAAGGCCATCGACGGGAAGGATTAATGACACGTGTCACGACCTCCATAGACCGCGTGCTTCGTAGTCCGTCCTTGATCCTAGTTCTCTCATGGACCACCCTCTGGCTGCTATTGGTTCTCGGATGCTCTGCCTCTGGGGACTTAGCGTCCCTGGTCTCCAGGACGATGGCCTCTGTGGCGGTGGTGTCGCTGACGTGGCTAGGGATGGTCCTTGGGATCTCCTTCCTCGAAGCTTGGGTACGTTCGATCTTCCTCCGGCAACCTCTCTTCCTCCTCCTCCTCCCTGCTCTCTCTCTCTCTCTCTCTCTCTCTCTTCTTCTCTTCACTCTCCCTCTTCTCCTTTTCGCGCTCCCTCTCCTCTTCCTCTTCTTCTTTCCTCCTGTATGTTCCTATGTGCTCAAAGAGAAATGTTTGGTCTACCTCTGAGCTCTCTCTCTCTCTCTCTCTCTCTCTCTCTCTCTCTCTCTCTCTCTGTGGTATCTGTACTGTGACTTGCGAGTGACAATATGTGGTCATGCACTCTGGGTAACGGTTGTCGGTATCTGTATAGACGAGTCGAAAACTGAAACAGTGCTAAATAAAATGGTTAAGGTTGTGATCACCCACACCAGGCAGGTCACAAAGAGGGACAAGAGACACACACACACACAGAGATGAATTACCTGAAATGGAATATTGTTTTCCCTGTTTCCAAACATCAGGGCAGGAGAGAGAGAGAGAGAGGGAGTTGAATGACCTGCAATGGAATATTGTTTTCCCTGTTTTCAAACAGGAGGGAAGGCAATCTTGTCCAATGACTGCGAGGTGTACGTTTCCTTTTCTTGTTTTGAGAACTCATGATGATGATGATTGATAAGCAGTGGAGCACTCACACGATGCTGTTTTGAACTCATGATTTTTTGTTACGATTCGAAGTCATGACTTGCTATGTGAGCTACCAACGGTTCCGTGTGCGTACCGGAGAGAGCTATGTGGCTGAATGCTACTTGCACTTAACTGGTGTTATAATGATAGGCAGGTCGTGTTCAAAATACAGATGGATATAATGATGAATGGTAGGGGCTACTGCTCTGTGAAAAAGGCAAAAAAAAAAGAACGAGAAAAGGATCAGCAGCAGAGAGTAACAACAGGTAATAACGGCCGACCGCTGCTTTGGAGCGCAATCTATTTATAGCAATCTGTTTGCTTCAGCTGAGCCTCTTTTCCCTTTGTTGAGATTGCCTGCCTTTGTCTTTTTCGAGGTCTGCGAATAGCAAGCATGTCTCTAAACTATTCATATCTGGACTATTGGTTGAGCTTATTCTGATCTCTCCTGTCGGTGAGTGGTCTTGTTTTTTTTTTTTTTGTCGGTGATACTTCCGCCCTCCCCCGAAGAATACAAAGCACCGTAATGATGAATGTATCGTAAAGAGGAACAAAGGGGG